AATACCGGGTACTCGAATAAAGGGTTGTCGAATAAACGGGGTCGGACTGTATTTATAATTTTAGATAAGGTTCAAAATATTCTTCAGATTAATTAGCTATAACGCAGTAAATATCACACGGAGTCTAATTTCTATCAACTGACAATATATAGACACTTACCATGCTTTCAGAAAGCACCGATTAATGCGCGTAAATTTTTTCGACTTCACAAAATGTAAGACAACTATTGATTAATCAGAAAGATTAGAGCACAGAAAACAATAAATAAGATAATTAAAATCTGAAAGAATTACATATATAAACTGTTTAACAGGTAAACTGTGAAACGGGTGCCTTTTTGATCAACTAGACCCCAAAGTTGTTACAGTTAATTGGCGATAATCGTTGACACGCGTCATACAAACGTGTGAACACCTGGTCAATGGTTTAATTTACAATCTTAATTGAAATCTAAAGGTAATTACAAAAACAAAAACATTTTTTCAATGTTCGAATATTCAGTAGTGTTTCGAATATTTCAAATATTCGAATAATTTCCCGGCCTTAATATTTAGCTTTAGCGGCCCCTTTTTAGGGGCCAATCAAATTAATATGAGCAAACTTGATAAAGGCCTACCTACGAATGCTACAGATAAAATTTGGTGATTATCATCAATTATTTAAGTAGATGATGTTCAAAGGTTGTTTCTATTTTTAGCTTCATCTGCCCCTAAAAGGGGAAATTCAAATAAATATCAATGAGTCCTTGACCTTTACCCCTTGACACAAAACCAAAAGAAGTCATCTGCTGGTCATGACCAATCATCATACAAAGTTTGAAGTTCTTAGGCCTAAGCGTTCTTTAGTTATCGATCGGAAACCGTTTTTACCTACAAGGTCACCTTGGCCTTTGACCCGTTGTCCTCAAAATCAAGAGGGGTCATCTGCTGATCATGACCAATCAACATACCAAATTTGAAGTTCCAAGGCCTAAGCGTTCTTTAGTTATTAATCGGAACTTGTTTTTACCTACAAGGCCAATGTGACCTTGACCTTTGATCCCTTAACCCCAAAATCAATAGGGGTCATCTGCTGGTCATGGCAATTCATCATATCAAGTTTGAAGTCCCGAGGCCTAAGCAATCCTTAGTTATTGATCGGAAACATTTTTCCATACAAGCTCAATGTGACCTTGACCTTTGACCCCTTGACCCCTAAATCGGTAAGGTTCACCTGCTGGTCATGACCAATCACCATACAAAGTTTAAAGTTCCTAGGCCAAAGCGTTCTTTAACCGTTTTTTATCTACAAGGTCAATGTGACCTTGTTCTTTGACCACGTGACCCCATTATCAAAATGGATCATTTGCTGGTCATGACCAATCATCATACCAAGTTTGAAGTTCCTAGGCCTAAGCATTCTTTAGTTATTGATCGGAAACCGTTTTTACTTACAAGGTCAATGTGACTTTGTCCTTCGGTTCTGGTGAGCTAAAAAAAACACCAGTCAAAAAATAATGGCTGTATAAGCAAATGTGTAGATATCTATTTCTGACCTTGACCCACTGACCCCTTCCTCTATCAAAAAGAAAAATATAATGTAAGTTATCTTCCTACCAAATATGAAATACATCAGCCAATTATTAAAGGTTGTATAAGCAAAATTGTAAAATTTATGTTTAGCACAGGTGACCTTGACCCAAATGATCCCTAACTTAATCCAAAGAAAAGAATATCATGCAAGATGTCATCCTACCAAATATGAAAAGCATCTGTCAATAAATAAAGGCTGTATGAGCAAAAGTGTAAAAAATATATTTTAAGCAATGGTGATCTTGACCCAACTGACTCCTAACTGCATCCAAAGAAAAAATAATTTTATATTCCTACCATATATAAGATCCATCTGTCAATAAAATAAGGTTTATACACCTGGAAAAGTATAAAAATATATTTTTTGTCATTGGTGACCTTGACCTTGACCAAAATGACCCCTTACTAAATCCAAAGAAAGAGGAACTCTGTAGAGGAAGTTTGTATTTAAATATGAATGACATGACATAAAAATAAAGACTGTATGAGCAACTAAATGTTTAAATGACCTTGACCCTAGGTCCCTTACTCCATAAAAAAATTAGATGACCATGTAAGGTACCCACCTACAAAATATAAAAGATATCATTAAATAAATGAAGTAGTTTAATTAAAGATAAATCCAACTTGCCAGAATAGGTTAACCATAAAATGCCCTATTTTCAAAGTGATAATAAGATTGCATTTGTGAAAAATGCTATGCCAACGCATTAATAAAGCATTATATAGTAGTGAAGGAACAGATTTTTTTGTTTCTATGCAATTGAAGATTGCCATAATGCAAAGATTCCTGACCTGTCTAATTCTACAGATCAGATTAGTGGTAAAATTTATAGTTATTCAAATAAAAGATCAGAGTAGGAATCTATCAATGCAGTTGAGCCTAGTGAATTTGGTAGTGAAGGTCATATTTCAAATGGCCTTAATTGCATGACTGTACATCAAAGGACAACACAGTAAGACACTTTGTTAAAATCTAGGTCAGCTGATATCAAAGTTCACTTTGCATCTTAATATGTGCACATGGTTCACATTTCATAGCTGTACATCATAGAACAAGAAAGTAGGTCACATCATGAAAATCAAGGTCAACTGACATCAAAGTTGAATTATACAAATAAAACTGTGCACATGGTCCAAATTTCATGGCTGTACATCAAATGACAAAATCGTAGATCACTGTCCCCTTAAACAAGGCAAAGTTTTGACCAAGTGTTTTATTCAATCAATCTTGATACAGGTTCACTAAACAACGTTTTATGTCAAATATCTAAGCTGAAGCTTTCTCTAATTCAGAAAACATTTGTTTTAGTTTCTGTTTTTACTATGTGTACATAATGAAAATCAATGCCCCGGGCAAGGCCAAGTTAACACCAGGGGCAAAATTTGAACAACTTTTGTAGAGGACCTATTGATGATATCATATAGCAAACATCAAACCTCTAAGCCTTGTACCTTCAGACAAGAAGATTTTATTAATTCAAGTAAACTTTTAATTATAAAACTATCGCCTCTGGTGCAGGGCAATTTTAACACTAGGGGAGTAATTTTAACAACTTTGATAGAGGACCCATCGATGATATTAAATAACAAATATCAAAGCTCTAAGCCTTGTAATACCAGACAAAAAGATTTAAAAAAAAATTCAATATGTACATAGTGAAAATAAATGGACCCTGGGGGCGAGGCCAATTTTGACCCCAGGGCTATACTTTGAACAATCTTGCTTGAGGTTCACTACACAATGTTTCATGCAAAATAATTAAGTATCTAACCTCTAGCCTTTGTCAATTTAGCGAAGATGATTATTTAAGATTTTACTTTATGCATATAAGTAAACTATCGCCTCTGAGTCAGTGCAATTTTAACGATAGGGGCATAATTTAAACAACTTTGGTAAAGGACACATAGATGATATTTATACCAAATATACACAGCTCTAAACCTTGTACCTTCAGACAAGTAGATTTTTTTTTAAGAAAAAAAATACTATATGTACATAGTGAAAATCATTGACCCCAGGGGCGGGGCCAATTTTGACCCCAGGGCTAAAATTTGAACAATCTTGCTAGAGGTTCACTACACAATGTTTCATGCAAAATATCTAACCTCTGGCATTTGTTAATTTCGAGAAGATGATTTATTTTTTAGTTTTTACTACATACATATAAGGAAAACCTATGACCAAAGGGCGGGGCTAATTTTGACACTAGAGGCAAAACTTTGGTAGATAATATCATATACCAAATATCAAAGCTCTGAGCCTTGTACCTTCAGACAAGAAGGTATTTTAAGTTTATAGTCTATGTACATATAGTGAAAATCAATGACCCGCGGGCAGAGCCAATTATGACCCTAGGGCTATAATTTGAACAATCTTGGTAGAGGTCTACCAGACAATACCTTATGCAAAGTATCTATATTCTAGGCATTGTGGGTCTTTACAAGAAGATTTTTTTAATTCATTCTTAAAATTCCTTTTGGTTGCCATGGCAACCAGATTTCTGCATGGAATGAAATTCTTTGAACAACTTGGAAGCCCTTCATCCAAGAATCAATCCTGCAAAGTTTGGTTGAAATTGGACAAGTCGTTTATCACAAGAAGATTTTTTATATTCACTATATAATCTATATAAAACACATACAAACACACTCAAATATACACACAGTTGAATCGCTATATGCCACCGCATCGCAGATGCTGCGGTGGCATAAAAAAGGGAAATAACTGGGAAAAATGGATGGCACAGTTATATAACTGGGCAATAAAATGAACTTGGTATTGATAATTTATTGTGGTAATTATGAAGCTTTCAGTATAGATATAACATAAGATATATCCAACTTGCCGTTTTAGGTTAACCAATTATGCATTTTCTAAGTACTGAAAAGGGCAATTACATGGTAAAAATGGCAGCAATAGTTGTGTAACTTGCCCAGATCATGGGCTTTGTGTTGATAAGTAAGTGTGTAAAGTATAAAGCCATTGATATAGGTAGTACTTAAAAAAAATCCAGCTTTCCATGTAAGGTTAACCTAATGAACGGTTCAATTACTTTATGCCCGCCCGGCAAATTAAAGCCATTAATATATAAAGGGTTGACCTGTAATAGCCCCAGTGAAGAGTGAAATATGACTCTCATCACCTACAAGTAAATTGGAGTTATATTCAATTAAATTTTTAGATTTTATTGCACAAACATTTTAATTATTATCTTAAATCTTGATATGGACTATGATTTCAGGGTAAGTAAGACAGTTCTCCATATACTTTCTCTGTTTGATTGTGTTTTACGTCACACCATTGGTGACCAACACAGTATAGGTCATTTGGCGACATTCCTGCATTACTGGTGAAGGAAGACCTCAGGTGCCCTTCTGTGCATTATTTCTCTATAAACTTTGTATATAGTTAAGCTATTAATTACCTTTGACAGTTACACTGACAGAGTCTTCAACAGGAGAAGTAGATAAATAAGTGACACTTATTTTGTAACTTCCACTGTTTCCCTCATTAACATTTGTCAGAGTTATCCCACCATTGCTTTTATGTACAACATTAAAGTTGTCAATTACAGTAGGAGCTCCTCCTCCTCCTAAACCAAGCTGCATGATAGTTTTTGTATTTGAAGAACTGTAAGTATGTGACCAGGTCACAGACGAAATATCTGCAGCATTGCCATAGACCCAATCAAGATCAACATCATCTCCAACACATACTGTTTGTGCTACAAGTGAACTGGTTATCTGACTGTCTGAAAAGAAAGTAAACAGGGTTTTCATAAAGAGGCACCAGCGCAGATTTGACTGCTTTAAATGATCTTTGGACAGCCTCAAATTTGCCAAAAGAAACAAACAAACAACAAGAGCGATCACCGATCAGATGTGTACCCTCATGATTGCATGTTGCAGCTACTTAATAGCAGGAAACACAAAAATCATTGACAGGGCGAAATGCGTTTATTATTTAAAGGCCATTATTTGGCAAAAATCATTGTTTATACAAATTTATTTTAGTTCGATTGTGGTTGATCAGACTGCGCAGATGTGCAGGCTGGTCTGGATCTATGCTGGTCGCAAACCCATTATGTTGGTTTTGTCGTGACGCGGCTCATTTGTGTTTTATTTCCCTTTGCATTTATTTCCCTTTGAAGGCCATCAATATTTTTTCAGTCAAGGCCCCTGTGACCTTGACCTTTGACCTGGTGACCTTAAAAGCAGTAACGGTCATTTACCAATCATGACTAACCTCAATGCCAAATATGAAAATTTCAATTATTTGACCTTCAAAGCCAAGGTCATTTATGAGTGAAGGTCAATGTCTGCCTGGTTTTTTTAAATGTTGAAGTTTGAAGACAATCCATTCAAAAATAAAGTTACAGCCAATAATAGCAAGAACAAGCAAAATTTGGACATTTGACCTTGAAGGTCAAGGTCATTTATGGATGAAGTCAAGGTTACTGTGGTCTACTGAAAGGTCTTGCCCCAAAGGTTGTTGTGGCCAAGTATGAAGACAATACACCATGAACTAAAAAAGTTATGATCCAGGTACAAGTTTGCGAACGGCAAACGCTGCCAGCACTATAACAATACCTCTATTTTTATTTTTTTTTTTTTTTTTTTTAAAAAAAAAGTCAAGCTAAAAAGTGACGACAATCCAAAGTTTTAGATGATTTGCATTAAAAATTAACGGTAAGTATCTAGAAACGAATATTGTTCTAGAAAATAAAACAATGATCTTTAAAATGATAAATCATGAAAATCTGTGAAGGATAAAGAACCCGCATTTATGATTGAACATAGCTAGTTACAGAATATCAAAAGCCCATCGAGAAATGTTTACGTCCGCAATCTTGATTTTACTGACGCGATCAAATCAAATTTTTTGATCATTGATTAATCTTATGTACGTCAATCACAAAATAATATTATTGTTAGTTACTCTTTTTTATGATATAAAATTTTAATTTCGTGTAATTATTTCTTTGATTATAGCATATTCCTTTTTTAAATCGTCAAAATGACCTGACGGGTACCTGCTTAATATCGGCCTGTATGCAAAAAATGTGTTGCTTTTCTTTTGCCGATGTTTTAAATGTGTTAATATATCGAAAATCAGTCCTTGTGCAAAATAATTTATTGCTGCACTTAAGGACGTTTTCGGGAGTTTTCATATAGACATATTAGCAAAATTAAAACTGTTCAATAGAATTTCTTTTAACTTGGCATGTTATTAGAAAATGATAACAGAAACATTTAAACGAAAACTAGAAATGTGTCCATAGGACACGGGTGCCCTAACACTCCACCGATTTATCAATCTTATGTCTCTAGTTCAAATATATTTTTTGGCTACATGTGCCAATGTTTAAAACTAAAAGTCTTTTATTAAGTTAAGGGCAAATACTGAATAAATCCACAAGAAAACCCCAAGGTGCATATGTACACATGCTGACCAACATTCTTGTAAACTTTCAGGCCTACATGTCATAAACTTTTTGCAACACAAGTACAATATTATGAATTTTTAATAAGTCAAGGGCAATAACTCTAAAAATACTAAAAGTATCCACACGAAAAGACCCAGTTGCACAACTACACATGCTGATCAACATACCTGTAAGGTGACTCTTGGTCACATACATTTTTAGTTTCTTGCGACACAAATTGAAAATTAGAAATTTTTACTTATTCAAGGGCAATAAGTCTAAAAATACTAAATATATCCACACAAAAATACCCAGGTGCACAACTTCACATGCTGATCAACATTCCGGTAAGGTTTCATGACTCTAATTCAAATATTTTTTGAGTTACGTGCGACACAAGTTGAAAATTGGAAATGTTTACTTATTCAAGGGCAATAACTCTAAAAATACTAAATATATCCACACAAAAAACCCAGGTGCACAACTACACATGCTGATCAACATTCCTGGAAGGTTTCAGGACTCTAGATCAAATATATTTTTTGAGTTACATGCGACACAAGTTGAAAATTGGAAATTTTTACCAAGTCAAGGGCAATAACTCTAAAAAATACTAAATATATATACATGTATACATGAAAATACCCAGGTGCACAACTTCACATGTTAATCAACACTCCTGTAAAGTTTCATGAATCTACGTCAATAATTTGTTGAGCTACGTGCGACACAAAAAGGGAACGGATGGACGGACGGAAGGACGGACGGACGGAGATTATTTCTATATCACCGGCCGCCTTTCGGCGAGGAATTAAAAAAAGAAATAAAATACACAAAATATAAAAAAATTTCCTTACAGGTATGCTATATCATACCAAAATGTACTAGGAATATTTAATGCAAAAAGAAATAACAAATGTACAGATACTCCAAGTAAATCAAAGACGTAAAGTATTTATTAACCTTTAAAAGCAATCAATAATTGACACCTCAAATATGTAATTCTGATCAGTTGTGTCGCATCCAATTATGTCGCGCTTCAGGCTGTAAGCATGTTGTGTGTGTAAAGCACGTTATACACAGATTATAATGCCTTAAAGTGCCTGTTGACATTTTTATTGAGTGTGATTTGAACATATGTAGGATTTTATTCAAATTATTAAAATTGATCAAGGAATAAAAAGTTAGAAGGGGGCGCCGAATGTAGGACAAAACCCCACACGTCATTACCCCACACCTCAAAATTTTATAGAGTGGACACCACACCTGAATTTTGTGACGATAGTTCTCCTCTGCATAGATTCTTTATGATATTTAGTGGTTTAATACCTAAATTGTCGGTAAGTTAAATTGTAAACAAATATGTTATCCTGTGTTTAAAAGAAGAGTTTGGCCTTTCATCAATAAGTTAATAATACATCAAAAATAAATGATAAGATTTAACAACTTATTCGTAGCAATTATATGATATAACGGGCATATTTTTATTATTACTAAAAATATCAGAACAATTCGTCCTTAAAATCATTCGAACTTAATGCCATTCGGATCAATATTCGGCCCATTATCAATATATCTTGGATGCTTGATTTCTTCAACTTCAGTAAACGATCTTTAAGTATAACTACATTATTGGGTATAAATATAGCTCAAGGGTGCTGAAAGTCAGCCTCTGCCCAGCTCCCGAAGTGTCATCATCACAGAAAGAATTAATTAATATTTTAGTTTAATTACTTTAATTCTTGCACTAATTACAAAGTATATCAATTGCATCAATGTTATATTGCGTTAGGTGTAATTGTTATAACTAAAGTATTGAAAACTCGATATCGACGTGATTGATTTTTCTATATATTAAATAGCCTAAAAAGTGTCACCCCAATTTTATATAAAGTTCAAGTAAAGCACATCAACTATAAAGGCACGTTACTGTTATAAACAATAGTTAATTAAACTTGATTCCAAAGTTTGAATAAATCATTTTATAATCATTTGTAACCAATCAACTGGCAAAGTAGCCATAAGAAAAATTATATGTATTTAACAGCTAGCCCGTGCACGTTACAATTTTATAGAGTGGACATAACCCCATACCTCTTCATTATTTGTTATAAAACCATACAATTCATATGATTTTGATCTTGCTTGAAAAGAACAAAACAGAATATTTACTAAAGTTTGATCTAGGTACTTTAAATATTTTACATTGTTCCTTTGTTCATGACAATTAATGGTATGTTATATTTTGTTTCAATATACAATACAATATGATTAAATGATAACAGACTATACCAATATTACAAACTGTTAAATAAAAGTCAAAGGGTAAGCATACAAATACTACAAACTGTTATATAAAAATCAAAGAGTAAACATTCATTAATCTTAATTAACATTAATTAATCAAAGTGTTTTCCTTCAGTTTTATTAAGAAAATTAGGAGAGACGTCGGGCTTTATACCTCGCCGAAATTTTTCAAAAGTTTATTACAATAAAATTTGACTCGAAATAGTTTACGACGAATAAAAACAAATAGGAAAATTTGGCAAAATGTAAGCTAAAATAAATTACCAATGAATGCTGCCTTAACTGTGAAAAGTATAAGTATCCTGAATTCGCTTGACAGTGCCATGTTCAGACTTTTAGCTGTAGCCTATGGTTAATCACCACAAATTTTTCGCTACCTATAAAAGGTTGAACACTACTAATTATATCTATCTATCGTCTGTACATTGTTATTAATTCTGATATCAAAAATAACTATCAGGGAAGTGTAATCGGATAGTTACCAAAGAAGCAATTAATTACTGCAGAATTGAATTATCTAGATTTGAGATATGAACATTAACTATTTATACCCTTACAATTTTAATAATAGCAAATGGGCGCATATTGTTCAAGATTTTGGTCTCTAGCAATTAATCCAATCTCCTAGTAGAGTTACTAAAGATAAATCTACTATAAATGACCATTTATACGTATCTTCCCTTAACCATATTTATGATCTTAGTGTCTCTGATTTAAGCTTAAGCGATCGCTGTCTATTTGCTATCGTTTACAATAAATTGTGTTACAAGAAGGGAGGCAATTGCTTTTTCGCATAAAACGATAAATTATCGTTCTTTCAAGAATTTTAATGAACAAGTATTTAAAATGATTGCAATGCTTTTAATTTTGATATTATTGAAATTGCAGAGCCAAATAACTCATTTGATGTTCTATACAATGTGCTTGAAGCATTATTTATAAACATGCGCCTGTAAAAGTAATGCGTATTAAAATGACTTAACAACCAGATTGGTATTCTGACGACATTAAAGAGGCCCGCAATAAAAAGGATCACTATAAAAGATGTAAAGACTAGATTAATCATAAGTTATGTAGCAATAAATGCCAGACTGTCATTAAAAAGAGTAAGAAGATGTTTTCTAATAAGGTAGTTAAAGATTCAAGAGATTTTAAATATTTATGGCAAAATTTAAAAGAGAATATATCAAATGAGAATAAGCAGCAACCGTCTTTACCAATCACTTTAAACATTAATGAGCTTCTATTTGAAGGAAATGTGAATGTTGCAAATGCATTTTAAATAAACATTTTACAGAAATTTCAAAACTAATTAAGAAGTTTAATTATAATGTTAACAATATTTCGTATTCAAAAGATTTTCTAGATCATAAACATAAAGATAAGCAATTTGACATTGATTTCATAACAGCATTTGAAGAAAGCAGCTATATTGACAACCTTGATAAAAGTTAATACTCTGGCATTGATGGAATTGGTCCGAATATGTTAAAACTATGTAAAGACTCTATAACGAGAGCAATACCTTCAAATATTAAGAAGAGTATTTCACTAGGTCTATTCCCAGATAAAACGAAACTAGCACGTGTTGTACCTTTACACAAAGGGGGAGATAAGTCAAACCCCAATACTTATAAGCCAACATCTATCCTCACAACCATTTCAAAAGTACTTGAAAGGCATGTTGCAAATCAGCTAAATAATTATCTTCATTATACTAATACCATTAATGAACACCAGTCAGGTTTCTGGAGACATCATTCTTGTCAAACGGCTTTGATCCGCCTTATAAATGCTAGGCTTACGAAAATTGATAATGGAAATAAAAAAGGTGCTGTAATTTTATATTTAAAAAAAGCCTTTGATTTAGTTCACCATAATATACTGGTTCATTTATTAAAACTTCTTATCATTTTTCTGAAAACTCTGTACAATTTTCCAGTAATATCTCTCTAACAGAGAACAAATTGTAAAGTCAACAATGATAAATCTGAAAGCTTACCGGTTGTATCAGGTGTGGCACAGGGCTCAATCTTAGGTCCTATACTGTTTCATTTATATGTAAATGATATATCAGTCGCTTCGAATTCAGACATTGATATATATGCTGACGATTCAACATTACACATAGCTGACCAAAGTTTGAGTAATATACAGTCTGAGATGCAGCTAGACTTATTAAAAATACAGGAATGGTGCACTCTCAATAATATGGCCATTAATCCAGAAAAGACAACATGCATGATTATTGGATCAAAATGTAAAATAAACAAGATATGTTTCTAAAACATGTATGCCCCCTATCGGCAGTCCAATTAGTCATGTGATCAGGTTATTATGGCTGACTTTTGACCTATTGAAAAATCAATAAGGGTTAATTACTGATCATGACTAGTCAGTAAGTAATTGTGACCGCAAAGGTTGTGCAGCAATTTTATGACAAAGTTATTCCACATCTTATTAAATAATAGATGCATAAATTTTATGAATTTTATTAATGACAGCCAAGTTGTTATATTACATAAGACATTGAAATGTGTATACCAATTTTTTTTTTAATTTAATAAAAAAATATCAACCAAGGCAATAGAATAGAGAAATACGAAACCCCTAAAGAAAGCACAACACGACAAAATTGAAAATGTTGCAGGCTCGGTTTGATTGAGCCTGTTCATGGACGGTACTGGGAAGTGCAAGTTACCTTCCACGCCCCCTAGCACCGGCTAAAGCAGAATTTAACGTTTAAGGATCGAAAATATAACATCATTGATTAAATATACGGGGAGACATTTTTACAACAGCCATACGGCACAAATAAGACGGATGTGACAATAAAATAGAGAAATACAAAATCCATAAAGGAAACCCAACACGACAAAATTGAAATTGTTGCAGGCTTGGTTTGATTGAGCCTGTTCATAGACGGTACTGGAAAGTGCAAGTTACCGTCCACGCCCCCTAGCACCTACTTGATTTGTTGAGTTATTGGTCAGAAACAGTGTTAACATACAAGGTCAATATGACGTTGATCTTTGATCCCTAAATCAATAGGGGTTATATACTTGCCAAGACGAATGAACCGAGAGAACTATCAGTTATCTAAGCATATAAAGGAAAATACATTATATTTGCATTTACTATGAACTTCCATACATTGAACAGAATATTATTACAATTATTTTAATGGAAAATCAACCAGGGATAAAATCAATCTAATAATAATACATGTGTACAACTGTGCCATGCTTGGTTAGAAGATTCCGATTAAGGTATACTTGAGTAATTGCCATATTTAGGATTTAAAGTGTTGTATGACTTAGAATTAGTATATTTATAAATAGAGTACTATCAGTGCGATAGTACTATTGGAAAATGAGTTAATATTTTTTTGCTTTCTTTCAGTTTATTGATGTTTCGCTCTCTAAACGTATTAATAAACTTCAATCGCCCATTCAAATGCGCTACCTTATATAAGAAGTCGAACAAAATTTGGTGTTTTAATTGAAATCATTAGGACAAAAACTAAAACAACATAAAATAATAACAATACACAAAAGAGGCACACACATGCATATACTTTGAAAACGTTACAATATTGTTTGAAAATATTGACGACTTTAGTTAAAATTTGTATCAGTTAAAAAACAACTCACCAATCAATATAATGATTATAATTGATAAAATTATTTGTACAGTGTATGCATTATGCAGTCTATACATTTGTCACACTGTTATTTCTATGTTGAATTAGATGTCATATTTTATCTTTTAATAATTGTGACATTGTTACTTGAAACAACGAGGTACTTTATGTGTAAAAGTTGGAAAAAAAGTTTCTTCTTCTTCTGCTTTTTCTTCTTCGCCTGCTTTTCTTCTTCTCCTCCTTCTTCTTTTTTTCTTCTTCTTCTTCTTCTTCTTCTTCTTCTTCTTCTCTTCTTCTTCTTCTTCTTCTTCTTCTTCTTCTTCTTCTTCTTCTTCTTCTTCTTCTATAAACAAAGCAACAGGCGAACTAAACATGAACAATTTCACCGTTTTACTCGATTTTCAAAATCTTTCGACGCATTCAATATGGCTTCCAGCTTTGCCGTACTCTAACCAACATACTACAGACTAGCTCCGACTATGGCCCGACTTGTTCTCACTTTCAAAGCGCTGCTGATCCAATGGCTTCGTCAGATGCTCGCATTTTCCCGTAAGATCAGATATCCGCCCACTTACAACAGTTTCCTGTACAATTAATTACAATATTTTCGGCACTTAACACTAATCATTAGATGATTTCAGAAGAATTCGAACATAAAATAGTTTAGAACCGTCAATTAAATAAACCCAACCAACAAATACGAATCCACACACTAAATGTGAGTAAAAAGTTATACCTCCATGAATATTTTTACGAATACACTTACAATTGCATTTAATTTCAAAAGTTATATATTAAAACAAAAATAACCATTCGTCTCAACTTGCATAGTTACGTACGACATGTTATGCTCTTCATAATACATGGACATGACAATTGTATTAAAAATATTATCGTTATCGTAAAGTACATTTTTTGGTGTTGATTGTCGCGTTTTCTTTCTTTACATACTTAATAGTTTACTCGATTTCTTTGTTACAGCATACAAACGTGATCAAAATAAATCTTAACAACATGTTGTGAAAACTAGCTATTAGATATGATAGTATGTAACTTAATACACTTAAGGTATAGGCAAGTCGTTTCGTATATATATATATATATATATATATATATATATATATATATATATATATATATATATATATATATATATATAATATATATATATATATATATATATATATATATATATATATATATATATATATATATATATATACTGTTTTATATAGTACATTGGTAACAGTATATTTCACAGTATAAAATCTGGTCTAAATAAAATGAAATAAAATGGCCGCCATTTTTTCTCGATTCATTCTTATTTTCGACGATAGGGAATCGCCGAAGCAACTATTAATCTCATAAAATTTAGTTCTTTGCACCCTAGAGTTCCTTTTTCGTATAGAATATCTTTTTGTTGAATAGTCAAAAAGGAAACATCCGTTTTCAACGGAAGTAATTGTAATTTGAATGATTTTGTGTCAAACCGGAACATGCGGACGATTTAAGCATGCAAAAAAGGATTTTTTAACAATTTTAACCAGTGAAACGTTACAGATAGAGTTGATGGACAGACATCTGTAGGATATCATCGTTATTTTCTAAATGCACTTTGTCAAAAACCATGCGAAGAATATTCTGGATGCAGAAGGATTTTTTCTTTTATTCTTTAAGCAAGTGATGATATCTACCAGTCATAAACGTACAATAAGCTGTCATTTATTTAGAAAACAAAACACTTATCCATTTATGATCTGTGAAATCTGATCCTTCTGTATCCAGAATATTCTTCGCATGGTTTTTGACAAAGTGCATTTACAAAATAACTGTGATATTATAAGTCTGTTCACCATATCTGTAACGTTTCACTGATTAAAATTGTTAAATAATCCTTCATGTCCTTTGTTGCATGCTTTAATCGTCTGCATGTTCCAGTTTGACACATAATTATTCACATAGCAATTACTTCCGTTGAAAACGGATGTTTACTTTTTGACTATTCAACAATTATTAAGATATTTTAAACAAGATAAGCACTCTAAAGTAGGGTACAGAGAACTAAATTTTATGGGTGTCATAGTTACTCTAGTGATTCCCTATCGTGGTGAACTTTGAAAATAAGAATGAATCGAGGAAAAAAATGGTGGCCATTTTATTTCATTTTATTTAGAAAATAGACCACGTGATCGGATTTTATACTGTTAAAAAGTACTGTTACCTATGTAACAGTACAAAATTCTTAGTCACATGGTACACTTGCATTAACAGTAAGAATAACTCCCAGAGGCCTATGGGAAATTAACATAACGAAAAAAATTAGGAGTAATAAAATAAAATTTGTTATAAGAAATTTAATACATTTCAACTTGAAATAGTAGACTCAATTTGTAATAGACAGACAAGATTGTTGCGCCAGTTTATCTACCAGCTATGTGAACAACGCCTTGTTTGTTCTCGAATTCGTGAAAATTACCTTCTCGGTATTGATTTTCCAGCGGTTAAAATTTGTAACAACTGTGTATGAAACTTTGACTCTCAATTCTCGTAAAAATTGTAACAACGCAGAAACAACTATTATAAAGAGACTGTGCTGTGTGATAGGGCACAAAATGGGCACAACTGTTATATTATAGCCCTAATTTATAAAAGGATATATCAATTAGCAAAATGTTAAAACTGTGAAATATGATTATGTTTATTCTATCAATAGACCCCACAATTACTTATAATTATCCTTCTTTGTTAAAAAAGTGAACCAACAAAGCCTAGTATCTCATTAGACAAAGTACCATTTGAAGCAGAGAGTGCAACATTGAAATGTAGCAGTACATCAACTACAACACCTAGGGACCCAAATCGTAGAATGATGTACAACTGGAAGGTTAATAACTATAACGTTTCAACTGATTTGAGGTACGCCTTCTCCAACACCAGAAACAAATTAACAATATCTAAAATAGATGAATATGATAGCAATAGACAATTTACGTGTACGGCAACGGGAAATGTCAGTTATGCTGATACATCAACCGACAGTGATTCATTCAGTTTTGATATTTATTGTAAGTAGAACAAGTGTTAAATGAGATAGAATGAAGGTATTAAATTACTTTCTGACATTGTTTCATTTTTTATGAAACAATTTCTTAAAATACAAAACAAGTAATAGAAAGAGCACCGAAACACGAGGCTATCTGATTTGTACAAGGGGGCGTAGCCCCCGAGTATAAATCAGATTGCCGAGTGTTTTGGTGTTCTTTCTCTTTTGTATCATAGTCAAACATGACAGCCTGTTCCCTGTTGTCAGAATATGAAACCCCAGAAAAAATTAACCAATGAACGAGCATTTGAATATGATAGTTCTGTCCCTTTCCCTTTCTCTGCCGTCACAATATGTAAACCCCGGCAAAAATGAACCAATCCACGGGCATTATCTGGAGTGCGGGTAACTGATACCTGCACTCCAGTTACCGCACTGTGCATGTATATGTATACGATTTAACTCTGACACTTTTTCAACAGAAAGGTCCCCAAACTATGATACAAATGTAATATATTTCTTTAGAAAAGTTATGGTAACTAAAGTGACGGAATGTGTAAATGTTTTAAGACAATATATGAATTATATCATCTTTAATATTTTATTTTTGGATCGAATAAATAGATGGTTCTACTTTAACATACAACTTACATATATAGGGAGTTAACATGTGCTCGAAATCTATAGCTAAAAAAATTAATACACATTTATATTACATATAATATGTTTCTAAGGAACATGGTTTGAATACACAAGTTACCCTTTTAAAAAGGTTACTGTCTTTTTCTTCAGATAAAGCTGAAATTCAGGGTTTCAAGAATAACTCAATATTTTATGCAATTGGACAAAGGTTGCAGACACTCATGTGTTTAGTAATTGAGCTGCGTCACGACAAAACCAACATAGTGCGTTTGCGACCAGCATGGATCCAGACCAGCTTGCGCTTCCGCGCAGTCTTATCAGGATCCATGCTGTTCGCTATCAGTTTCTCTACTTGTAATAGGGTTTCTAAGCGAACAGCATGGATCCTGATCAGACTGCGCGGATGCGCAGGCTGGTCTGGATCCATGCTGGTCGCAAACCCATTATGTTGGTTTTGTCATGCCACGGCTAAACTGGTGGTTATCCTTTACCATCGCTTTCATGGTGGTGCTTCTCGGGAACTGAGCAGAATTTGAGCACTCGACGACAAGTAAAAAACAGATGGACTTGGACAGCATCAAGAAATGGAACATGTAAATGTACATTTTCACAAATGGGGGTTGCAAGTGATGTTATACTCAACGTCAGAATTTTATGTACGTAAATCTTTTCATCTTAGATAAAAAGAACTTACCATGCCCAAACTTTTGTGCAACACACACGTACACCAACACGCGAGCACCCACGCACACATACCATATAAAGTTATGCATGATGCATGACAAGGTGATAAATATTTTCAGATTCAGGTATTTTATATTTATTATAACTTATAGTATACTTTGTTATATTTTTTTGGAAACGAATTCATTTTTAGTTTTTAATCAGTTTCCTTAAAAAGTAGCTGACACAGGTAGTTTAATTGTGCAAGATTTATACATGTTATATATTTTCCAAACGGAAAACATGCCGTTATGAATATGACAAAATAAACGCATTGGAATTTTGATTAATTTGTAATGTGGTTCCGTGTGTGTTTCAGGTTCAAATAATACAAAGATAGGAACTTTGTTTTAAGCTATACTTTCAACGATATAGTTGTATTTATGTTGTTATGTTTAAAATGCAAAAACACATTTATATTGATATGTATGTCATTTAGTCTATATTAGTAGTTATAAAGATTTTTGACAGGTTATATGGCCATATAAACGGTTGACCGTGCGGCTAGGCGAGGTTTATATTGCAAACAACCGTTTATATTCGGCCATATAACCTGTCAGAAATAATTGTAACGAATTTATAATACAGCAAGCGTCAGTTTTAGAGGAATAAAACGTCACGATTATCCAATGAAAAGCGACGTTACAAACGTGGAATATTATAAAGTATAAAGTAACTATCATCTTATTGACCAAATAATGTGATGCTTATTTGAACGTTTTATATATCTTTAATGTTAAGTTATATATTTCACTACTATTTCAGCGCCACCTACATCTCTCGCGTTCGAATTTAATTCTAAAATAGTTCATCCTTCTAGTACAGTTAAAATTATAAGTGACAGTGCGAAGCCTATATCTTGCTTGTCTTCAAGTTATCCATCCCCTGAATACAAATGGACATTTAATGGACATACAACAGAGGTTAGTCAAGAGGCTACACTTTTTCCGTCTCAAGTTACAAGAGATGGTCGTTACTACTGTTATGCAAAAAACACAATGATACCGTCTCTAGGGAGTGAGGAAAGTGGCAGTGCATATGCTTTCATCGACATTCAACGACTGTGTAAGTTTAGATTTATTAGCACTAAATAAATAGCAAGATAACATTCCATATTTATTGTTTTGTATGTATTACAAGTAATATTAAGTACGATTATGCTGTCAGTAGCTAACCTGTGAAATGACAACAACAAAAGACTTCCTACAAAACGAAATTCCTATGTTTAAAACTTATTCAACAAGAGAAAAGGCTTGCGGCGCTCTAAAAATAAACATTTTGTCATAATATATTAGGTTAAATAGTTATTATTCTTTCATGTTTGTAAGAGTCTTTTGTTTCTTGTGTGACATGCTGGACATCTGTTACAGATAATGCAAATCCACCAGAAAGCGTTGATATTTTGAAAGGTTCATTAAAAACATCATCAGTCATAATAATATGGATGCCTAGTTTTCACGGAGGTCTTAAGCAAACATTTCATATAAGATATAAAAAACTAAATGGTTCCACCTGGCAGGAAGTTACCAAACAAGACGAAGGAACAGCAAGTATGAATGTTACGCTTTCTGGACTTGAGCCGGGCACAGCTTATGTCTTTCAAATGTATTCTAGAAATTCGGCGGGAATCAGTGATATGACAGAATTATTAACCTTTAAGACAATAGGTTTGTATAACGTTTATTTTCATGTTCTACATTTATAAAGATATTTCCAAATAAACAGGGATGAATATGTTTCAAATGATTGAATAATTGAATTCGGGAAATAAGACATTGATAAACAATATGTGTACTTTTATAGATAATGCGCTGATAAAAAGCAAGGTGAATGACTACTGTGTCACATGAAAGTGTTAAAGATCCTGTAACACTTCATATACGTTAAAAGAAGAAAAACAATAGTTTCGAATGTGTTAAAGATGGTCTTCAAATGAATAACTAGTCGCATAGTTATCGCCGAAAATAAAACACGACGGTATCACTTAGTGTATGTTACATATGTTAATTAATGGAGGTCACGTGACAAACGCTCACACAGCTTGTAAATAAACATGGTGGAGAGAGAGAGGCCTCTCTGCAACAGGTATGTTAAAACGAAAAACAAATTAAAGTAAATTATAGAATTAATCTACTGTGCTTAATGAGCTGTTGACTTCGGCATCTACTGTTTGTTTTGTTTTACTTGAATGGTTCACACGAACGATCATCTGTTTATGATGAGGACCAAGTCAGAGACGAAGATTTTTATCATTTAATTTTCTGTATTATTTACTAATTTTAATAATCTTTTTCGTAAAATTATCGAGTTTACCATTAAATCAAATATTTCTGATATTTTTTTTTGGATATTATTTACAAAACATACAGGATCTTTAATTACTATTATTGCTGTTCGTACATCTGTGTAAACGTATAACAGTTTCACTATGACATGATTTGTTATCTAGACTATATTTTAGTCAAATTAATTAGCCTTGATAAAAGTATTTGAACATTTTATATTTTACCATTATTTCATATTATCAAGGCTTTTTTCAACGTCTAAACGGATTGCAATGCAATTAAAAATATACTTTTATTTCATTACCAGACTAACAGTTTCAAAATCTTTTCTATATTGGTTGGAACGCTGAATTTAATTTTCAACACTGATGTTTTCATACATTGTCAGCCATATTGAAACTATATATGTTGGTGCAATACAATCTATGTATCAGCGGTATACGAAATGTTTTAATTTTCCTGTGTTATAAATATACATTTACGCCCGATACAAATATGTTAGCAAGTTACATAAATATTTAAGATTAAAGAATAATTTTTATTTAGAAATGATAGAATAAAAGAACAAAATATACGAGACTCATTACTCAAAATAAAACTAGTAAAAATCCGTTTAAATTTAATTTTACTAAGAAAAATCGAATGCAAATGTATCGCATTCGGATATCATTGGTGAACATTATACGGCCATTGCTTCCTAGTTTGATAACATGGCAGTGGTGACATATATATGGACATATCTCCTATGTAAGCTGTCAAGTTGAATTTAAGTTTGCTTGAGCATGTTCATTTTGCATTAATTTTTCATAAGATATTATATTTCTTTCAAATAATTACTAGTTAAATCGTTTAAATGCATTAGATCTTAATCGATGTCTACTGTCAAATTGTTTGCTACACATTTTTGCAGTGATCTATTAAGACCTATCGTAACATGGAAAATGAAAAATGCAAAATATCAGATAAATGAAGGATAAACATGAAAAATGTTACGTATAGGTCTTATAATTAGGACTAGATTATATTTATGCAAGATTAATTAACATATCAATGGACAATTATATTTTATATGTCATGCATTTTGACCGTTTTATTGTAATAATTAATGTTTGTATATAATAGGAATCATTGTTGACTTATTTCTTCAATTAATAAAGTATATGTTGTGTTCTGTTATGGTCTGTTAATAGTTTCCTACCGGTAGGTTTACCCTTTGTCTGTCTGTATGTGCGTCTGTTCGTGCAGACAAAAGTCAGTTGTCGGTCAAAAAAACTGGATCCCGTGGAATGCAAAAGATACCAAAAATATTTTTTTATTAAAATTGAAATATTGGTAGATGGCAGTCTTGATGCCATGGCTTTTTTGTTCGACTAGTACCGGGAATGTTGAAACAATTGGAAGCAATGGCAGCAAATAGATTTAAAACATGGCAAATATACCTTAAAATATTGAATCCCCGTGATAATACAAAACAAACGCGGAAAATATTTAAATGAAACTTGAAATATGGGTTGATTGCAATCTGGCCTTTATGCGCATCTATTTTTTCCTCTGATAAAAAAGTTGGTTATTATGTGATAACTCATAAGTATAGAAAATATTTTTATGAAACTTTTATTATGGATAGATGACAGTAAGGACATTGTGCACACCAGTGCGGCGACCGCGTCTTGATTTCTGATACGTTTTACAGTTTGTTTGTTTTTTTTTCGTTTTTTTTTTTTTTGTTTTTTTGTTGTTGTTTTTTGTTGTTGTTGTTTCGCAGTAAAGTCCTTTTCACTTTACTAACTTCTTTATTTCTTAGGCGTTACTTCAAACTTGCAATATATACTTTTTGACTATCAACAAACATTAAATGTGACAGGTTTTACAAATCTAGCACCAGAGCTATTAGAATTACGCTCCTTGAACTTAGAATTTTCATGGAAAGAAATGTGTGTTTTCTAAAACTTCTTCCTGTCTTAATGTTTCTACTTCAAACCTCGAATATATGTTCATACTAATTACTTAAATAATTTTTCTGGGAAGATTAGTACTCTAGCTTGACCACTTCAAGAATAATACCATCCTTGCAATTAGGTGTTTTTCGTAGAAATTATTTTTTTTACTCAAACTTAGTTATTTCTTAAAGCAGCTAGCCTCCGGATTCATCCTAATTTTCATGGAAATTTTGAAAATGTATTTAGAGGTAAAATATTGTAAAATGAACAAAGAAAGTATTTGACACATTACAATCGGCACTTAAAATCAAAAAATTTTAGTATGGTTTTTCCAAGTTTAATTTTTTGAAATATTTTGGGTCATCTGGAGGCTGCATGCTTTAAAGGATTTTCTTCAAACTCCCATATCATTCTAACATGACAAGGGTAATTTTTTAAATCTAGCGTCCATCTTTTTAGTGTTATCTCCCCCTTAAACTTTGAATTGTCCTTATTTATTCCATAACTTATTTAATTCTTCATGGATTTACTTAGAATTTTAGATTAATTATTAACACCTACATCATATGTCACAAGATTTTGAAGCATCTTTGGTTATTTTCTTTTTGAACATAATATATTTGAAAAAGATGTTTTTTAGTTTGCGTCTTAGTTACTTTAAATGCTATCTACTTTAGACTTAAAATTACCCTTGATTTTATTTGCAGAAAACATAGATGTACTTGTTCTGATTGGAGGGCTTGTAATTGGTGCAGTTGTATTTATAGCCATTGTCGTCGTTTTAATTGTTTACCTTTCTAGGAAGTACTGGAAGAAAGGTAAACCTTTTTTTATCTTTTTAAAAAAAAAAAAAATATTTATATTTATATTTACAACGTATTAACAGTAAACAGATTTTGGTGAATAAGGCGGTAAATCGAGTTTGTCAGGATTATGTACCATACTAGATTTTCACTGTTGAAACATATACAAAGTAACACATTCGAAGTCACGCGAAAGACGTGCATAAACAATAAGGATAGTTTTATTTGGCATAAGGGATAATCATATTACAACAAAAGCTACGTTGAGTGAAGATAATACACAAGATGGCAAATGTACAAGAAAATATTATTGAAATCAATTAAATCAAGGTTAAAATTAGTTAATTGTAGAGAAAATCAAAGCTGACATGTGTTTGGTATTATAACAAATAACTTCACAAAATTACAGAAAAGGGGGCATAACTCTATCAAAAAAGGAGTTTATTGTAAACGGAAATTGACCTGTTTTCTATATATAACATACTTACATGTCAAAAATAAACAGAATTACTAACATTCTTCTAAAGTTTTCCTGCGGAAACCAATAATTTCAGTTAAAAGAAATCTTCAGAAAGGAGCATAACTCTTAATAGTAATAAATTCTCAAACATGACTTTTTTAACATACCATACTTACATCTTGCACGAAAAAACCCAAAACAATCACAGAAATTCTTGAACGTAATACCGCGGATAGAAATTGTCTTTTGACAGACGAACAACTGGACAGCACAATACTATAATACGTCCTGAAGGCCTTAGGGGGTATGAAAACGTGAGTGTGATAATATGCTGTACACCTTTGCTTAAGAACTTCAAAAAGTTTATTTTCAATAAATAAGGTCAACATGAATTATTTATGCGGCGGTAGTTGTTTATGCCTGTAACGATATCAATAGAAATTAATAAGCATAAAAGTTGTCATTTGATTAAAAGGGAAATGAAAAACAGGCTCATTATTTTAACCAGAAAGAAAATAACTTTATCGGACAATATACAAATATGTCATTACAATTTCGCACTTATCATTTTACGGATAAATTCCTAAGCTGGTTTTCTCAAGATGTAGTTCTAAGGAAAATAATAAGGATGCATATGCCATACTTTATTTTCTTAATTTTTTGTGCTTTAGGACTTCAGATATAGATACATCTAGACTTATTTGACAAAGTAACTTTATCTCTTGAAATATAATTGTTCAAAAAAAAACAGTTCATGGATTTCAACACAATTCCGATTAAGAATCTTATAAATGTTCTGGTATCTTTATTTTGTCCTATTTTTTGTTTCCATAACTTTGTCTTGTATTTAAGAAAAAATGGCGATTCGTTTTATAAATTTCAGGAATTCCTAAAAACAGAGCAGGAAACAGACAAAGGTAAACTTGTCAGAAATAGTTTATGACTCATTATTTTTTTCTTTTGTTAACCACAGCCAATGCTTACATGACTGTATCAGATAAAGTAATTCATATGTTTGACAGATCATGGTGAATACTTTTTCTATACTTATATATTTTCCAGTAAATTATTTATGTTTCAGATTAAATTCATATTAAGTTTTTAATAGCAATCGATGGCATGATTTAAGTGAAAACAGAATAACCTGGATTCAGATGCATTCAGTATTATAAAATTAGTTAAACTATTTAACTATATAATACTAGTATAACACATTACAATACATAAAAAATAAACAAACTGTTTTGCACTTTGACTTTTCAGCGGCACTGATGTATGCACGGACTTACTAGAAATGCAAAGTGGTTCTCATATGAACGTTAACACCCCACACGGTAATAGTAAATAATCTTATTGATAAAAGTAAATGAAAGTTAATATGCACAATGGGACCATGGACAGAATCAAACACTAGTCATATATATATATATATATATCTAAGATGTTATCTTCAGTAGCTTCAAACATTTAATGATTGCATAAATATATGGTTCACAACTTTATGATAATATAGCTGTTGCATTTTCAAGCATTCCTTAGAGAAGTCATATATTTTAGTATATTTCATGTCAGAACAAAACACAGAAAGCAAATGTACATCATGAAAAGGCAAGACATTGAAGAAGAATTAAAGTTTTTTAGTATTTTATTAGCTGATTATGACAAAATTTAATTTCAAAAATTTATTGTATTATCAGGCCACCAGCCCATACACATATGACATAATACATAACTATAAAATAACAGTCATGTGAGGCAAAATATATTATTGATATATATTATTGATATATATTTTGTAAAGGAAACACAATAATACACAAAATTATTTCAGACATATTTTATGATACAAAGTCAATTTGATAATATTCTAGTCTGACCAAATCAAGTGATTATATTAATGTTTATTGAGAAAAACGTCTTCTTCCAGCAAAAACGTGTAACTTATTAAGTTGTTATATCACTTATTGCATTTGATTATTATGATATTATTCTTAACAACATAATTAATTCTTGAAGATTACTGGACATATATATGTTCTATGTCGCCCATAAACAAACAAATGCACGAGAAACATCATAAATAGAAGCGCGCACACGCGCACACACACTAAACACAAATATTTGATGTGAATAAATTCATTTCTAGGTGCAGCATGATTCAAATGCGTTTCTAAATCTTATTTCTAGGTCAAGGTTCAAGTGCAAGGTACGTATATATTTATACATAATACAGTAAATGGCATAGTTATTAGTTGTATTATTTTCTGTACGATAAATTTGATAAAAAAGTACTATCAAAGTTCAAAATATCATCACGGTATCGGGAAATGCTAAGTGTGGATGTAGGACGTTCTTTGGGAACTATTACAGGTGTTCACTGGAAACTATGATAAATGTGAAAATAGGGAATAAACGTGTTCTCTGGCCTCGGATACTTAAACCGCTGTAAACTGTAGACACCTTTTTTCCTATGAAGCCATGCTTTCTAAAGTTTGTAAGAACTATCATTCTTCTATGAAAGTTATGGGAATTATTCTTTAAAGACGGTTGACATACAACATTTTCGTTTGACACTTGTGAAGTTATGAATTTACTGAAAGGACGTCATACAATCTCATATTGCGAGAATTATAAATGATCTATGAGAGTTAGATACTGTAGACTATATCGTATGAAATAACTCTAACTTTTAGACATACTCGTAATAATATAACCATATTTATCTTCTCGTCATGTATCTTTACGACTTTCCAAAAATATTAAGTATGACGCAAAGGCGTTAACGAGAAAAACAAGTTGACATGACTTGAAACTTTTAGATAAGTGGAGGCCCTGATGATATTCCACATTCTCCACTTTTTTAAAAGTAGACATAATGGATATTACACTTCAACATTTATCTATAAATACAAATGTATTTAGTTTTGAATCGCTACTGTACGATTTGAAATAATGTATTTAATTTCAAAATTATTAATTGTATTACACTATTGTCTGAAGCTGAGCTGTTTTCTTTTGTCAGGGATACCCATGAGTATACAGAGTTAAGACCGAATGTCATGGATATTAAAGAGCATGCTTATAAAACGCTAGGTATGGACTTTGGCTAGATAACATTTATTTCTATGATGCCATAGCATTTTACCCACTTCAAATATGCATTTCTATACCCCTTATATTAAACATGCTTAGTGAAAAATCTGAATTGCTTTCTATGAAAAAATTAATCTAGCTCAATGTACTTGATATCATTGTTGTTGTTGTTGTTGTTGTTGTAAATAATAATATTATTATTATTATTATTATTATTATTATTATTATTATTATTATTTTGGTGTTGATTTTTAGCTCGACTTTTCTATGAAAAGGGGAGCTATCCTACTCGCCCCGGCGTCGGCGTCGGCGTCGGCGTTAGCGTTAGCGTCGGCGTTGGCGTCACACCTTGGTTAAGTTTTTCGTACCACCCCACTTTATTTCAGAAGTATTACAAGTATGGCTTTGAAACTTACCATACTTGTTCACCATCATAACCTCCATCTACAGACAAGAGTACATAACTCTGTCAAGGTTTTTGACAGAATTATGGCCCTTTTTTGACTTAGAAAGTGTATTGAGCTTGGTTAAGTTTTTTGTACCACCTCACTTTATTTCAAAACCATTGGAGGTATTGCTTTGAAACTGACCATACTTGTTTACCATCACGACCTTCATCAACAGACAAGAGGACATAACTCTGTCAAGGTTTTTGACAGAATTATGCCCCTTTTTGACTTAGAAAATACATTGAATATGGGTAAAATCCACTTATTGCCTTAACCCTTTGAGATATTGCTTTGAAACTTTTAATGCTATTTCACATCATTACCCCCATCTGTACGCAAGAGAAGGTAACTCTGTCAAGGATTTGTTTTAAAAATTAAGGCCTTTTATCGACTTAGAATCTTGGTTAAGTTTTTAGTACCAGTCCATTTTTTGACTGAACTGTTTGAGATATTAATTTGAAAGTTGGAATACTTGTTTACAATCATGATTCCCAAACATGTCCAGGAGAAGGTAATTCTGTCAAAGATTTTATTTGAATTATGGCCCTTAACTGTCAATGTTTTGTATTATAGGCAAGCACTAAAAAAGTTTTTTTTTCTTTCTTACCAGCCCTCTTTTGACTTAAACATTTCAAACTTTGCTGCAGTGTTCAAGGGTATCACACAATTCAGTAAAATAATTCTTCACTAAATATCTTAATGCTCATGGCCATTGTTCACTTTAAAAATACAGAGATTCTTGTATTGCCTTTTACTGCAAAAACTTTTTTTATTGGCAAGCAATAAAAAAGTCGAGCGCGCTGTCTTACGGACAGCTCTTGTTTTACATCTTTTCAAATAGAAATTGTGATACTTTTTCATATTTATCTCGTTATTATTTTGTTGTTCTTATGTCATCGTGCAAATCTTTTAATGTCACTATAATGTAGAATAAGACAAAATATTACAACTAAACAGAATACTTGACAGATAGTTCGAGCGTAATTACATCACTTAGCTTTAATAATAATAATTGTCTGTCTGAATATTCGTAAATTACCAAGCATTTGTTAAAGCAGGTTTTCCACGTTTTTATTTTGTGTTTTCCTAAGAATTAACCTTATTCTTATATCTTTTATTTTTTCAGAACAAAGACCAACGCCTAACCAAGAACCAAAAGTTAACGAAAACCTTAAGATATGTTAATTAAATCTTATTATTTTATTGATTATCTTATCCGCTATTGTTATGTTGAACATTTTCAAACTAATTGGATATTGTAAATAATTGGATATTGTAAATGAACACATTTTTTAAGCCTATTTTGATACTGAAACTGTTTGTTTACGTTTAATATTTGAAACAACTTAAACAAAAAATGTATCTTTTAGAACCAAGTAAAACTGGTTAACTTGCATGTGTAGGTTCTTAGTTCTCCCTGAAAAGTCATATAGTAATGTTAGAATAGCTTACATAACAATGACATGACAATTTCGTGTAGGGTTATTTATCTTGAAAAATGGAACACTTTAATGTGTTTCTAAACAAACCTGTCGTGTTTCTGTAAAAAAACACTTTCTAACATCAAAATCTACGCAGTAGGTAAGGCAATCATTTTTATAAATACTTGATTAATGTGCAAAAAGGTCTATAAACATTATATAAATTGATCATATCAATAATCATATAGTATATTAGACCCTAATATTATTGTTATTTTGCTCAAAGTTTTAAACTCAGGTCTTGTGTAACATAAACTCAGTATGTTCTTACGTAAAATAAACTGTTCACTAGAAAATGTAATGAGAAATAAATGCAGTGTAAAACATTTTGTGAGAGGAGGTATTCTTAAACAAAACTTAAATATCTGAGCAAAGTTAAAGAACTATATTGCACATTTTATTTAAGAACATTGTTTTAAATTTTATTTTATAATGGCAATAACTTTCACTTTAAAACTATCTGAGCATAACAAGAACTACCAATTACATTTTATTTTAGAGTGGTCGATGAGATTCCCAGATGTAATTTTAAAATGACTAATGAAAACTCTTTTTATATTCAGTTCTCCCCTGTAAATTTTACAGGAAGTCAAATTGATTTAGACCGGCCTATGGTCGGATAAATTGTTCTTAAAATCTTTTAATATTTATGCCAAAGCAACATTTGCGATGCGGTGTCACAAACGGAACATCTCGGCTTTTATCAATAATAACATAATTGGACTGATTAAATTTTGTTGTATTTTTACCGTGAACTTTGTGCCATTGAGTTCATCTTATCTGAAGAAAGATAGTAGCCTATCATTGAACCAGGCTGTATATAGTTGTCTGTCATATGACATTAGAGGTTTTTTTTATTTTGTTGCTTGTTTTTTATTGTTTTTTTACTTACCTTCATAGGAAACATGGGAACATTATGTTTTAACCTGTACGTATAAGCAAGAAAAAATAATCGTAAATTAAACATACCCGTCTGTTTAACATTGAAGTATGTATGTGTAAATATATTATGTATATGAAGTTTAATTTTGTAGATAAAATAAAAGATATTGCAAAATAAATGTATTTTCTGTCACATGTTAAAGCCCTCATGCAAAGGACAGCAAAGCAATATGCTTCTATGAAGAGAAAAAAGGTTTATATGCGAATGTAGGAGTGACATCGCTGTAAGTCAGCTAGGTGATTTACAGCTGACATCGGCCCGATGTTGAGCCGAGTTGCACAACCGCCGTCGGGCGTACATTAAATAATGCTGATATTGGCCCAATATTTCTCTTAATATCGTACCGATATCAGACCGCTATGTATTGTTTGCTCGGATAATTAATTCAGTTATTGAAAATTGGAACAGCTGGATATAAGAGATAAATATTTATCACCCATGAATAACATAATATTACATAATAAATGTACAACGAAACCCACAGCTACCTGCTGCCACCCTCAACTGCTAGATCTACCCAGAGTAGTTGCTTTATTACACAATCAAAGCACTGAAAGTACTGGAGTGTCGATTGTGTTGTGAAATATATAACCTTTCACAGCCTGAGTCTGTTTATTGATTACGCCATTTATTTTCGTTGCAGATAATGTACAGTTTGATATTTATTCAAATATTTAGTTCTATTAGACCTATCTCTAAAAAGAAGAAAACAGATCTAGATGACATAAATTATAGGTTTATACAGCAAAAGTGTGCCTTAAGAAAGATATTGGCACACTTATTAAAATATTGGCCCAAAGTTAATGCCGTTCAAGTATACCGGTATTGTCTTAATGAACACTTGCCCTGTATCATAACCTTTTTATTGCATTTGCAGCAATGCTGCCCTGTAATTTAATCTTATCAAAATCTGAGACTTGGGCAGCCCTTATACTCCATATGGGATCACATGGCCCCACCTGGGCGGCCCATGTACTCAATATGGGCCCCATATGGGCAGCCCTTGTACTAAATATGGGTTTCAAATGGGCAGCCCAGATACTTCCATTATGGGTAGATTTTGAATTCCGGGATAGATCTATTTTCAAGTACTTCAATTATAAGTTTGCTGGACGTTAAGTTGCAACTGGCATAATTCTTGTACTTGCATTAAATATTCAAGTGATGTTTTAACTGGAACAGACAGATTATGGCACAAAGCCTTTATTATCCTGCAAGAAAACAACACACAATGTATATGCTTTAACAATGTTAACTTTATTTAGTAATCTCAATTATGGTAAGAGTGTATCATATATATACAGATTCTCAAAGACACAACTGCAAACCTACTCCCATGTCTTTTTAAATTTCTACATAATTCATAGGAAAGTATTATACATTTATTGTAATTCATTACAAATTTCTATCTACCAATTACTTTCATTTTCAAATGAAATAGTATCTATGTTTTATATGATATTTAAATTTTCAGATATCTTTGTATTGGACAAATGAAATAGATCTACATGAATAAATATAAAAAGTTGTTCATTACAACCATATATTACACTTTGGTATGATAGTGCTGAAGAAAAAAAATATTATTAGCTTGTGAAATGTAACAAATATAATAAAACAAAACCTTGGCACAGTTGTAATACTGTTCATAGATGTGTAAACAAAATATACAGCTGATGAAAAGTAACAAATATAACAAGAGCCATGTCAACATGGCAATCCCCCGCCGAATGTGTTTGCTCATTGGAAGAATGTATATGTAGTAGAGCGGAATAATTCCATTTTAAAAGGTCTTTTGGTAATGAAAACAGATGGCTATAGTGATTACAGATTTGAAACCTATGTGAATACTGATGGCTGAAAATAACAAAGGGCAATTACTGAAAAATTATGCAGGGTAGGTTATCATTCTTGTGTGCTGCATCCCTCCTAAGTAAAATCTATCCACCTATGAAGTTTCAAGTTGATACCTCAAATACTTTTTGAGAAAAAAATTGAATTGAAAAATTAAGTATGAAAAAGAACAAAGGGCAATAACTCAAAAATTATAAAAGGTAGAGTTATCATTCTTGTGCAGTGCACACCTCCTGAGTGAGATCTATGCACCTATGAAGTTTCATTTTGATATCTCAAAGGCTTTTTGAGTTATGCTCTGGACAAAAATTAATTTTGAAAAATAACAAAGGGCAATAACTCAAAAATAATGCAGGGTAGAGTTATCATTCTTAAGCACTGCACTCCTCCTCAATGAGATCCATCCACCTTTGAAGTTTCAAGTTGATACCTCAAATACTTTTTGAGATAAGCTCTGGACAAAATAGCATAAAAAAACAAAGGGCAATAACTCAAAAATTGTATAGGGAAGAGTTATCATTCTTGCGCACAACATTCCTCCTCAATAAGATCTATCCACCTATGACATTTCATGTTGATATCTCAAACACTTTTTGAGTTATGCTCCACTCAGGTGAAAAATTAGGTATGAAAAAATAACAAAGGGCAATAACTCAAAAATTATGAAAGGTAGAGTTATCATTCTTGTGCACTGCACACCTCCTGAGTGAGATCTATGCACCTATGAAGTTTCATGTTAATATCTCATAGGCTTTTGGAGTTATGCTCTGGACAAAAATCAATTTTGAAAAATAACAAAGGGCAATAACTCAAAAATCATGCAAGGTAGAGTTATCATTCTTGTGCACTGCACTCCTCCTCAATGAGGTCTATCCACCTAAGAAGTTTCAAGTTGATAACTCAAATACTTTTAGAGATATGCTCCGGACAAAAATGTCGGACGGAAGGACGGACGGACGGAAGGACGGAAGGTCGGACGGAGACTATTTCTATATCCTCCGCCGAAATTTTTCGGCGGGGGATAATACTAGTAACAAAACCTTGGCACATAGAAATACTGTTTATAGACGTGTAAAAAAAATATGCAGCTGATGAAAAGTAACAAATAGTTTGTACCAGTTTGTAAAAATAACCAGCTTCATTTCTCATATCTTCATCAACAAAAACCACAATAAAGGCAAGAAATAACAATAGTATTTACAATTTAATGCATTTCAATTGTTAATATCAATAGTTATAGTAACCTTTTGTGAAACGTTACTGTTTGGATCAGTTTTCTATGTGCTAATATCATTCTCAATAAGAATTTCATTAATCTTTTATCAATTTTCAATGGTTTATGGAAGTTAACGTTGAATTCTATCCTGACTCACTAGCCACTTTGTGAAAAAAATTATCGAATTTGATAACTATATAAATATCAAAAAAGTTAACCAAGTATACTGAAATTCGGAAAAAAAATATGACAACAACGTCAATAAAATGACTTCATCTTTGCGATGCTTCCTGATAAAAAGTTTCTCGCATATTTCAACCTTTTATTGAAAGGAACCAAACATTAGTGGAGTTTTAGACATAAAGTAAACACATACATGTATACTGTATCAATGTAAATATCATGATAAGTTCACTTCTGAATACCAAAAGTTGTTATTTTCACTCATGGCTGCGCCACTTTGTGAACAACATGGCTGCGCCACTTTGTGAACAACACTTCAGGTATCCACTCTGTGAAATTAATTATAAATAAAATGTGATATTACACCGAAATTAACAATTATCCTATATATCACAGAACAGTAATTATTTATGGATATATTCCTTTAAAAAATGTGAAATAATACTGATTTAACAAGATCAAATTTGTTGTGAAGAAGTTCATTTAAAAAATTGTCAGTAACAATAGTTGTTTCAGTAATTTATCCAATACCGGTATTATCAAAGTTTCAACAATAACAAAAATAAAGATTACAAGAAGCATCATTGTAAAGTATTTCAACTTGATTTAAAAGGTTAATACCATATCTATATATGTGTTCCCTGTTAGTGTTAAGTTTGGACAAGATGTTATAATTGTATTGATCAGTATCAAAAACATTCCCCAAGCATTTAATGTCTTGATTTAAATAGCAACAATGTTTAATGAAAAAAAAATAACAACAGCATATAGACAACAGAAAAAACAGCATATAATGTCAACAACAAACATTACATAGCAGCAAAATAAACTGACTAGAAGGCAAAGATTTTTTCATTTACAAGAAAGACATGCTATGCTGATGACCTCAAACATTAAAATTAGCAACAAAAAGTATAACAAGACACACAAATGAGCCACTTACTGTAGTTCTGATCACATTTTAAAATACTTTGATATCTATTGACTTTCAATCATTGGAATAACTTATATGCCGATGAAGAAAAGGTTCGAAAATGTAAAATAAAAGTCATTCATTTTATGCTTTTGTGTGTATTACTGATGTATCCGTGAAAATTATATTTGATAATTTCACAGTGAAAATGATCCAAATTTCAAACTTTTCAATGACGAGACTACTTTTTAAAGATTTTCCCCATGTGGTACCTTAATATCATTTTTGCTTACAATTCTGACATTCTCAGGACTGTTTCAAGACTAACCTATCCAAATAATATTCCTCTGAATAAAACCAAATTAATTTTCCTTAAAATACAAAACTTTTAAAAATGGCCGCCACTTACATTTCACAAAGCCAGGTCATACATAAATTGCCTGAGTAACAGAAATAAGGTGGGATGGTGTGACTTTTTATTCTAGAATTGGTTGTTTTTATTATTAAAACAAGCGATTATTCATATTTTTTTAATAAAATAAATAAAATCATTGCTATTCAACGTTGATTGTCAAACTTTTTGTTAAGCCCAAGACTCCTGTATTTATGAATAATTGGACTTAAATTCAACTAAAATTGATGTTAACAGTGGGGAAAACAGATTTAATAATATTATTATTAAAGTTAATATTGAGGAAATTTCATTAGCATAAAATAAAAAGACACTTTATTGTTTGTTGTGTAAGATGTAATTTTATATCATTGAGGGACTTTTAAATAACAGTGTTCTCACTCGTGAGAATAATGTTTTTACAGCTCACTTGATGATATAAAATTTCATCTTACACACTAACAAACAAATATCCTCTATAGATTTGCATTTTTTAAAAATAAAAACATGTCTAGTCACTTCCTTCATTTGCTTCAGGTAAGGTCTCGGACACTTTGTTTCTTGCTTTCCTTCCCCCATCGCGGTCCCACGCCCCAGCCAGCCACTTTGAAACCTTTATTTCAATATCCTTCCTCGTCGCAGTCTTTGCCGGCAAGTTCCTTTGGACACATTCTATAAAACAAGCATCCTTATCCTTAAAGAATGAAATGAAATGCAGTGAAATGTAGGTATTGAAACCATTCAAAGGTCATAAGTCACCTTGTAGCATTTTGAGCATAAAATTGGAATATAAACTAATTCTAGTATGTTTTAACAAATATAGATGTTTGTGTCCCGGTTTTACATAGCTTTTAACAATATTTCTGTGATATCGCTGCAGTCAGTTGTAAGCTGAGATCATCTTATCGGTGTATCAGTAAAGAATGTTAAGGTAAGCAAATAACTTGCTTTACAGGAAGGTGATTTCTGCTTATAGTATGCATCACAACACAATGCATGGGATCAAAACCACACAGCATGTAAAATATTCTCTCTTATTAATTTCCATAAAAGCTAATCAAGCATTTTCTTTCATTAAAGCGATACCTGAAGACACAATAACAAGATCTTGGATAATATATCTATTTTGAAGCCTTACTTAAAGACACCACTTTGCAAATTCGTAATATATCACTTACTATACAATACATTCAGTATCTAGAGGCCCCCAAATGTTTTCTTCCCTTTCAGCCCCTTCATATTGTACATTCTTGCCAGTTCATTTGACATGGTTTCTTTCATCTAGCGGTCAACAGTTTCCCGCACAACTGCCCCACCAAACATTGAGAGGAACCGCACCTTAAATAAAGCAGAACATAAACTTTTTTTAATGTTAATTTTAACACTACTAATTTTCAAAATTTGTGATGCGCTGCAAGTCACCAAATGACAAATAATTGTCAACTGGACCTCAAATACATGATCTGCCAAGAAAACTGTTTGAATTGACAAATTAAAAGACCTTTCCTCATATATTTACAGCCTAAGTGACTTGTGCCTTTTTGTTTGTCCCCTCCACCGAGTGTAATAGGGCACATTATCATTGTTGTTTTTAAACACGAGTTTATACAGTATGAACAGAATAATTTTTGATATTATAATAACAGCGCAATTCCTGGATTTTGTGGGTACTAGTCATTTTCCTGGTATTTTGAAAGCTGCCAGCATTTTGATTAATGAATCGACTGTCTTGTCTTAATAATCAATGTTGAAAACGAGGCCAACTGCCCATGTCTTGTGCTCATGGCTATTATAGCATATCTAAATAATAAGATAACTGTTTCAATATGAATCAAAAAATTAAAACAAGCCAGTTTTTAATTCCGAAAGTAATGCAGTAAAGTGTTTGTCCACTGTGCAATATTTTCCTACATAAGTATAGCAGAATGATAATACATTATCATCAAGTGCTAACCACAGACCATTATGTTATTTTGCATTTAAGCCAGTGGATATGAGGTATACTTTTTTCAGTTACTAATGGTGCAATAATTACTTGACTAACACTATGCTTACCACAGATGACAGCTTTGTCTGATCTCCCAGAAGCTCATCGAATGTTTCCATCTGCTATGGAGAACGAATAGGGAATGAGATATCTTCAGGAAGCTGCAGCGGTTGGTCATCTGCTGCTGACCTTGACAACAATTGCTACATCATCCTCTTAATTTCACGATTCTCCTCCCGCATTGTCTCCAAGACTCAGAGAATCTGTGTAACAGCAGCTGCAAAAAAGGATTCATAATTCTAGGCTTTATACTTTTAGAGCTATGTGAATTACAAATGAAAAAAATCCAGTATTTTAAATTTTTCCTTGGCTTTAACAGTAATTAACACTAAAATCTCAAAAGGATTGTTGAGTGTGCAAGGTCACAAAATGTGAAAATGATAAGAAATCATGAATTAAACTTAAAATATTTTTGAGCTAGGCATGTCATGGGGTGAAAATAAACATTTTTGACTATTCCAAGGACAGTAACTTTGGATAACAGTTGTGGGGTCAGACAAGAATAGGCGAACATTAATTCACATCATGATAAAGACTAACACAAGTCAAGTAATCATCAATTTCTTTTGAATTTTTATTTAACTAGGGGCGTCATAAGGTGAAACTTTCCATTTTTGGCTATGTCACTCAATCCAGCTTGTTACAACATTTATTGGCTTGTTTTGAGGATAGAACATTTAATAAGTATGTACTGTAATGAATATATTTACAGCTCCGAAGTTTATACTTACTGGGCCCAATAATCTGCCCACGGGAGGGCGTATCAGAAGCACCTTGTATTAGAGAAGCAGTCTTTGCACATCACTTCTGGCCTCTCGCAATGCCTGTGCAGATAAGCAAGGCGGAGGTGAAAGCAGGCTTCGTGCCTGTTTGGCGTTGTTGCTTTGTCAATAACTTGTGATGGCCTACTCTCGGTGTCTGTCTCATTCTCATCAGTGTCACTATCCGATTCATACAGCCTTTTTGATGGCCTATTGACAATAAAATGAAAATACATTAATAAGTAGTTAAAAAATACATATACATTAAGTGAGTTATTGCACCAAGTGACAATATGATTATGACCTGTACACGGCTGACAAACATGTATTAGTCTATGTTTACGTACCGAATTGTTGTGCCGCAATTTTTTCTACCAAGGATTTTTAGCACGAATGCGCTCGTTTCCTGATGGGATTATTTCATGAACAGGAAGGGCTAGAGACTTGGAGTTGGTCTCATTTGGAAGCTTAATACAAATGTGAAATAATGATAAAAGATTTTTTAATTGTCTGGACAATTGTTTTCACAACGGCCTGGGTAGCGAATCCCTTGCTCGTAGGCTCGAATCTAGAGTTTCCAGCCTTCTCTTATAGTATGTTTTAAAGGGGGTCATAATTTACATTTTTTTTGGTTTTCGAATTTTTTAAGATGAACACAGGTTTAATTATCTATCAGGTCATATTTTTTCTTCTCAGGTCCGATACTCATGCCTGTGCAACAGCTAGAGGGCTTGGTTGGTACTTGGAAAAAATACTTGAATTTGTAAAAATAAGTATTTGTATTTAATATTTTAAAATGCTTATGAATGAAATGTTGGTACAAAATGGAAGGGACTTCTAAGGCTAGGGGGGACACTGGATTTCAAATGATGGTGTCCCTTTAAAAAGAGATCTCTTAAAATTTAGTCTAGATAGAAACAATATTTTTAAAATGTTAGTGTCGACTCCGTCACAGTTAAGTAATTCAACAATAACAACTATACACATGCATAGGTCACCTAAAGTGCCTAAGAGTCAGGGCGTAAATTCTAGAAAATGTCGCAAATTAAACGACTATTGGGAAATTACATGACAAAGGCAAAACCAAAAACTAAACAGCGTTTACAGCTTACCTACACACACAATAAACATGTAAGGATATAATATGAAAAGTCGTTATACGAAATCGTGGTTAAATGCTTGGAATCGAAAAGAAATATTTTTTTCGTGTACAATTTTACAATTTAACATTTCAATACACAATTTGATTTTAAGCGGCAGCGGAAATCACGTCTGCACATGCTCGAAATAAATTTTTTCATCAAAAACTGATTTTTATAAATTATTTCTGAATTTATAGTCTAAAAACACATTTTTATATTTAAATAATAAAAATTAAAACCAATATAAAAACTTAACAAATTAATTCCTCGCACCTGCTCAGGCATGCTAATATTTATCGGGTTGCCCAAATGGGACCCATATGGGTCCCTCATGGCTTGTATAAATGTTTAAAATAATGCTACGATTTTATATAGGATAATAGCAATTTATGCCAAGGTGGTCATACTATAGCTCAAAGTAAACGAGTTCTAAAGAAATAAATAAAAGAAAAATTGTTTTTCCTTAAAGTGCTGAATTATGGTACCCATATGGGACTAATATATAGGCGTACCCAAATGGACTTGCCAATATTGGATCCATATAGGTCCAATATGGGCATACCCATTAGCTTGCCTAGATATAGCCCATATAGGTCCCATATATGCATGTTTGCTGGGTATGTATTATTCAGTACAGTACCTCCAAAATCTGCATATTCTGCACATATGTCAATAAGTATACAGTCACATTGTGACAATAAGAAATATTTAAGGTTAAATGTGGTAAATACTCTGTGATTACTTCTCACATTTACTTGATATTAATAACCAATACTCGTTACATTAAAAAGCATACTAGTGACACCGGCGAGCAACTCCAAAGCAATACTCGGTAAACTGACATGTTTATTTATTCTCAAAATGCACTGTCATCTGAAATTTTATTGTTGTCAGATTGAACGTTTACCTTGAATTTACCTTTGTTCATAGTCTTGAAATGGGATGAAAGTCCTCGTAATATCGAGCAATATCCGGCGGTAAAGGCTCCCACGTTTACAATTTTTTGTAAACCTTTACATGATTGCTAAGAACCGAATCGATACCGTTTAAACGGTGGTACTTCTATGCACTATACTATACCATGTATTCGAGTCGCCAAATGATGACTTACTTTCTATACAAGTAAATAATGTTCAGTGCTCATCACGATTTAGGCGGCACACATTTTCTGCATTGTATCCGCATTTCGTTATTTAAAAGATCAAAGAAAAATCAACTTTAACAAAAATGAATTATGTCACAAGCGATTATTGCACGGTGATGGTGTGTGGTCCGGGTTGTAAACACCCATTTTCCATTTTTTACTTTGATAAACCAATTAGTATAGATAAAATCCATGATTACAGGAAATTATTAAGATAATTTGTAAGACAATATGGTCATCTCGAATAAACGGTAAAAAATATCATAACCGTTTATGAATGAAAATCGAAACGAATCCGTTTAAAAGTGTAACCGTGGGGGCCTTACCGGCGGTACGGTATTCCTCAGTGGAACTAGTTTTGTTGCTCTATGTTGAATTATCTTTGTTTCATGTGTTCATACCTTTCATTGTTTTACGTTTTCATGTCATAATTTATATACCTTTTCTAATTGAAATTGTTATTGATGAAAGTGTGTGAGGGAAGAATTTACAGTTCATAAATGTTTAGGCTACTGGTTGGGGACCACCAAAACCGGACAACCACCAAACCCGGACGGCCCTGAAAATGCTTAATTTAGTATTTTCTTTGTTCAGTGGTTGTCACTTTTTTATCAACAATAAATGCATGTTTCTTCTAAAAATAAATAAATAAATTTATTTCAACCACCGTAAATGGTAATATAATTTTAATGGCTATTTCAAGAATGTTGACGTTGAAATTTGGGGGGTCAAGAAAACAATGCCTGACCTCATATACCATCTATAATCATTTGCAGAGTAAACAATAGAATTTCCAAAACTTCAGCATTTGTTTCTGAATCATTGTCTATCATGTTAAAAATTAAAACACCCAAGCTGTTATCTGAATTAAATAACGTCATGTACATAAATGTCCGGACACATGGTGCTGTAGTGTAGACAATTGAGGTAATTTTGATACCTCCTTGTCGAGCCTCAGATATAAGTGTCAATACAATCAGACAAACAAGTTTGTTAGTTAGGGGAAGAACCTAGCTGAACCTTGTCAATTTTTTTGGTCTCTAGGTTAAAACTTATGAAACCTGTACAGAAAAATGTTCAAAAAGTGTCCGCGGTTGATGGTCCCTGACCCTGTTGTATTAATCACAACATCTCATCTTAACAAAGATAATAAAACATACAGATCTTTTCAATTATTTTTAGTATATGTGATCTACCGCTGGATGTTCATCAACTAAACAATCTAAAGTGATTTCTTTTTTGTTGCGGACCGAGTTGGTTTAGGGCCGAGTGGAAACTTTTCTTATACCTCTTCGTACACATTGATAAGACGTAAGATAAGATAAGTTTTGTTTCAAGTCGGCAAGTTTTCAACAGTACAACATAAGCTCTAGGAGCTTTTATAACCGACTGTATATAACATAAAGTATAAGATCAACAAAGATAAAACAGCTACAATAAAAAAATGATTAGACATGATATATATACATCACATACATAAAATAGACCTTTTTAGATATTTTTATAAAAATGAATCAGATGGTAAAAAACTAAATGATAGTCAGTGTTCCCATTCACGCACAAATGTGAATTCCGTATAATTTACAAAAATCACGCATGAAATTACAACTAGGTGCGTGCATGCACGTATGAAAATTGAAGTAAAACTGCCAAAAAATTATCCGCAAATTCGAAGCACAAATCAATAATCTACTCACAAATCTCTGAAATTGTTTACAAGACCGTAATTTAATCCGAGGTCATAACTTGGGTTTCCCAGCTGTGCTATTTTTAGCTCATGGACTGGTTTATAATTATTAACGACGGCTTCGCACGCTTTGCTCATTCTGGGACAATTTATTTTGTTTATTAGTCAAAATCGCTGTATGAGTATCCGATACTTACAATTTCTTCAAAACAGCCTGATATTTGTGTCAAATAACGAAGTCGAAACTGCATTTCAATCTGCTTGAATAAAAATGGCGTCGTTGAAGAGCCAATCACGTGATTCACTCGCGCATTTATATAATTTCTGCGTACAGTACAAATTTAAACTAAATTGTAATTTTAATTTTCAATAATTTAACACAATTATAAATGTATGACAACCCCTTCTATATTCAATGCATGAATGGATTTTCTAACTTGTAACCGAACATACGGAACTATTTTTTTTGTCAACGAAATTCGGTTGGCAATAAGAAATAGTCCGGTAGATGGGTGGTTATACCTTTGTGTCGATTTACAATCGACACAATAATGCATCCAAAGGAGAAGATTCCAAACACAGAAGGAATACAAGAAGGGCCATCCAGGCCCGCCGACCACTCCAACAGGCTGACACTGTAGAGTCTGATGAGCCCGGGACCCACCAATGTCTATCAGTCTTATCATGATTTCTAATTCCCTTGTCCCGTCATCTGTTGCATCTGGCATTGTTTTATATAACCAATATTTACATATAGGTGTTCTTCGTTGAAAGTTCGAAAATTAATGAAGCCACGCAATCAGACTGGATCAATTAATATCAAAGCATACACGAATATGTGATAATTCGAGAAAACTCGAAAAAAGGTCGACGGGACCCTATGTAGACCCTATGAAAGTCGAGTAAATCGAGTGAAAGTTGTATTTAATCATACCAGACCGTACTAGACCGAACTTGGAACAGCAATCGTATATATTCGTATGCAAATCGTGTTTAAACCTTGCTTGACCGAGTATATCAGTCCTTTATTCGTACATGCTCGTGCTACATTCGAGTTTAACTCGTGCCAACTAATCCCCAGGCACGGTTGGAGCTAAATACTCATACCAGTAAATCCATGTATAACCGAGTATACCGTATGGAAACCGTGTGCCCGTACGTGTTCTGTGTAAGACGGGCTTTAGGCTTCACATTAAAATCAGATTTAGGATAGAATAAAGTAAACTTGTTCGCTTCGCGTCACTACGCCTTTATTTGCGTTACTACGCCTGGATTTTCCCGCAATTATGCCTTTTGAATTGCGATAAATTTTCAAATTTTACTCTATTTGATACTATATCGTCCATTTTGCTCAGCAACGGCCCGCCTCGTAATAATATTTATATTATAAATTTAACATGTTTTGTTTTCTGTTTATGTGTTGTATTTTTTAAGTGTTGTACACACATTTATCATTATTATTAACAATTTCGCCATGATTCACATCGCAAGAAAAGCTTAATATTTTTAATGACATTATTTTTATGTTATATTTAAATGTTCATTATTGAATTTGTTTAAATAAATGTATTAGGTCGATATTTTTTTTTAATTTAGAAGGCATGCTAGTTAAACCCATAATGTATAGGATAAACTCTTTATTGTATATTTATTCTCCTTTGTATAAATATTTCTTATTCTAAATTACTCAAATTTTAGCAGTTACCAATATCCCCTATAAATGAAGCACACAACATTTCCTTGTTGCCCGACATGAGAAAGTGTCTTTATCTCTTTATCTGCGAACACAAATCGTTATTCCCTGTCGTTTTACATGTTTTGTATGTTATCAATATAAAGATATTATAAACAACACCGAATTCCATTTCTTTAATGGAATATATTACAACTACGGTCAAAAGTATGACCAAAGATATTGACATTTGTACTTCAGAATTCAGTTCAAGAATATTACTATACGTTTAATAAACAAATTAAAAATCAATCCCTCTACTGTATAGATGCGGGGAATTATAATGAGAATAATAATTTTAAAGTTTATTTCAAATTCAAACATGAACACTGAACTCGATTTTACAGATAATCATTTCTTCCTGTAATAGACAAGAAGAATGTAAAAAACATGTAATTCAAAACTATTTATTTTAAAAGACAACATAACATAAGGTGATAGACAGGTATGACATGCTGGACGTATTTCTAACAATCACTCACGAAATCCCAGTGATACTATAATCAACTACCTATCAATCAGATTAAATGATGAATAAAGTGCCGGGATAAGTATCTTGAAGAAACATCGTACTAAATTAAGATATTTTAAACAATTACCACATATATATGAGCTTCATCCTAGCAGTTCATAGAATCTTTCTCCGAGATATTAACAGTCGAGGAACCAACGTGTTTGCCCATTTTGTCCTGGCAGTAACAAACAGATCCCGAACATCCCACTGATGCATAGTTACCGTTCTTGTCACAGTAGAATATTTTACCAATTAGACCGGTCTGCTGGTATGCATATTGATCCCTCGCACATTCTGAAACCGGATTAATAATATCTGTCATATGTTGCGGTTCAGATCGGAATATCCGTCCCGATCTCGAGGGACCCCGAGGCTTGCCGAGTTATGGCCCATGGGCGGGTTCCCGAGAGACGGATATTCCGATCCGAACCGCAAACATGTGTCAGATATTTTTTCTTCCATATTCTGCAGTATAACTAGTATTTCATATTTAAAATGGTTTAGCTCAATAAGATATTTGTTCATGGAAATTAATGTCATTTCATCCAGAACTATTTTCTTACAATGGCGTATAAATTTACAAATTTAATAACAATGGTTAAATGACGTCATCCTAAGCGCATAATTCCCTTCTAAAATGACGTCATTTTAACGCGGTTCGTCGATAAAATTTGCTAAAATTCGCTAAAAAAAGACGTTGTTGTATGGTAGGCGACTCATATGGCACCCCATTTAACAGTCTTCCGTTCTTATCTTATAAATGCAATAAATAGAATATTATATTACTAAATGTATTGAACTCGTTTAATAAATTCAGTATTAAACCTACACTCATTAAATATCTTCTATTTATTACAGGCTCGAATTGATTAAACCTGCTTATGACGCCAGTACTTCATCCGAAGATGTGTTCACAAGGCGGTGATGATAGAATCTTCAATGCGATCGTTTAGAACTCGTTTGAAGCAAGATATATTGTTTAATGAAACCGTTCAATGTCGATTCATAATTATAAGCAACGTACGGTTCCCTACTTAGGTGTTAGATAATATAGTTGTAAATAGAGGCTCATGGTTCCCTACTAACGTGTTGGATTATTTAGTTGTAGATAGAGTCTTATGGTTCCCTACTTACGTGTTGGATTATTAATTTGTATAAAGAATATCATGGTTCCCTACTTACGTGTTGGATAACATAGTTGTAAATAAGTCTCATGGTTCCCTACTTACGTGTTGGATAATATAGTTGTAGATAGAGGCTCATGGTTTCCTTCTTTCGTGTTTGATAATATAGATGTTGATAGAGTATCATGGTTCCCTACTTGCGTGTCGGATAATATAGCTGTAGATAGAGGCTCATGGTTCCCTTCTTTCGTGTTCGATAATATAGATGTTGATAGAGTATCATGGTTCCCTACTTGCGTGTCGGATAATATAATTGTAGATAGAGTATCCTGGTTCCCTTCTTTCGTGTTTGATAATATAGATGTTGATAGAGTATCATGGTTCCCTACTTGCGTGTCGGATAATATAGCTGTAGATAGAGGCTCATGGTTCCCTTCTTTCGTGTTCGATAATATAGATGTTGATAGAGTATCATGGTTCCCTACTTGCGTGTCGGATAATATAGTTGTAGATAGAGTATCCTGGTTCCCTTCTTTCGTGTTTTGATAATATAGATGTTGATAGAGTATCATGGTTCCCTACTTGCGTGTCGGATAATATAGTTGTAGATAGAGTATCATGGTTCCCTTCTTTCGTGTTTGATAATATAGATGTTGATAGAGTATCATGGTTCCCTACTTGCGTGTTGGATAATATAGCTGTAGATAGAGGCGCATGGTTCCCTACTTACGTGTTGGATAATATAGTTGTAGAAAGAGGCTCGTGGTTCCCTACTTTTGTGTTGGATAATATAGATGTTGATAGAGTATCATGGTTCCCTACTTACGTGTTGGATAATATAGTTGTAGATAGAGTATCATGGTTCACTACTTACGTGTTGGATAATATAGTTGTAGATAGAGTATCATGGTTCCCTACTAACGTGTTTGATAATATAGATGTTGATAGAGTATCATGGTTCCCTACTTACGTGTCGGATAATATAGCTGTGGATAGAGTCTCTGCAAGAAGCTTACCCAAGACTATTCGCTTTTTATATATATGAATTAAGAAATTAATCCCCTTTGACAAATCATTGAAGAATTGAAAAAAGTAGAAAAATCAAAAGAAACATGGACTCGAATAACGGGTTTGGGTGATTGATTGGAAGGTCTTACCACCATTTGGTGTGTATTTCCATGTTTTCTTTGATTTTAACACTGTTCTACATAGACTAGTAATATATTTCTTTAACTGTCTGTGTATTTGGTTTCCGTCTTTTCTAACTTTTCTAACTTAGAATTTAGACAGAATGAAATTCATAAACCGTGGGATGTTTTTTATTTGCCTGGACTGAATCATACTTACGACAGTCCATGGTATCTCCAGCCTCCCATCTATACACCATGTAGTCATAGAGTCTTGTACCATCAGCAGTCACACAGATTGCTCTGTTTGGAAGAAAACATACACTTAGATTGATAACAAATACATGAACACACAAGTATGATAGGCAGGTCTACGTTACCATTATAATTGTTGTTCTTATAGATGTTTAGTGGAAGGAGCGATTGCCCATCACATGTTATAAAAATGAAGACGATTAACTGCATGGTATGTTCTTTAAAACATGTTTAAGGTACATCTGGGTAGTGTAAATAGAGACGGTGTCCATGTTCACATGAAACATATCGTTTATAAGCCTAACAGCTCCCACATTCTTTCAATTACCATAGCAAACTAACTAATGTCATGATAAGAATATTATAAGAAAGAAAGTGTAACCATCAGAATGATTGTGTTGCGATTTTTTATCCAAAAATTGAAGTAAATGCAAGGTGTAACATAAATTTTGTTTAATTGGAAGTTGTTGTTCTTTATTTTATTGTCACCGTTTATCAAGAGAATAGTTTGTATATATAAAAATTTTATGAACGTATATGTGAACATGACTTACTGAGATCCACCAAACTGGTATGGTTTATAAGTGCCGTCATCTTCACAACGCGGTCTCTCCAGCCCGAGTAACATATGTTCTGTATCGTTATTTAGTCGAGCATTTATTTCAGCAAGCTTGGCTGCACACGGAGCCGCTACAAAATGTTTTCAAACATTCTTTTCAACTAGTCCTTTACTCATTAGAATGCATTGTTTAACACAGCAAAACCAATTCAAACTAAGGTAGATTGATTGTTTTGTTTGAATTTGCAACACATTTGTCTGTTTCATATATTAAAAGACAAATAATATTTTACATGTAAATCATCAATATGTTGGAATTGGTCATAATTCGTATATTTACGTGTCATATGATAGCAAAATAAACGTCATAGAAACCACCAGGTAAAATAGCATCTCTCTAACCTGGAGCAATTAATCTGTAATTTTTTTTAATCTATTATAATTTAGAAGTAACACAAATGCACGTATCTATACGACTGTTTAAGTAATGATATGTCTTAGTATAATAACTTTATATTGTAAACTTACTCAAGTCTCTTCCATAAAGCGTTTTACGACAAACGTGTGACTGGCAGATGAGACCTTCATCGCATATCCCGGATGATGACGTAACAAACGGATTAGAAATACATTTTTCACCCTCTTCTGCAATGTTCACATATATTGATTCATTTATTTATTCATTCATGACAAAAAATAATATAAAACAATTCGTGCCTTCATTTATTTAAGAAATAATATATACCAAACTGTGATTTTATTGCTCAATAACATCACTGTTTGGAGTTCGGATGCGGGGAATTATATCACGAGGGCGTAGCCCGAGTGATATAATGATCCGCATCCGAACGACAAACAGTGATGTTATCAAGCGATAAAATCACTGATTTTGGATATATTATTTCGATTCTAACGCGGTACTTAACAGTTAAGCAAAATTGCGCGTGATTTGTTTCTGAACTTATTTTCAGCGCGTCGGATTTTAAGTGGTTACGGCACGTGTGTAATGACTACGTCACATGTCTAAATATAGAACGTCAAACTGTGCATCTGTTGCATAATAACACACACTTTCTGTTCTTCTATGTTCAATAGTGAAAAATGCGGGTCGTGTTAGAATAAAAAATCAAAAATCCTTCCTTTAATGACCGATGAAATGAGCTAATGTTTTTTATGTTTCTTTGTTTCCCCCAAACGATTACTGTCGAACCAGTGTCCCTGCATGCTTAACCAGCTCAGATCTTATATTTTCATCATGGTACATGTACATGGTTCTGGTTTGTTTGTTTTGTTTTGTATGTGATTGTTGTTTTATTTTAAGTGTGTGTGTGTGTGTGTGTGCGCGCGCGCGTGCGCGTGCGCGCGTGCGCGTGTGCGTGTGTGTGCGCGTGCGTGTCCGTGTATTTTTGTATTTTTAGTGTGAATGTGTCTTTGTGTGTTTGTGTTTTTGTGTGTTTTTTTCTGGATTTTACGTCGATTTTAACACATTTGTTAGTCATATCTCGCCGGTTGATTGACCGAACCGGTTTTCGTGGATAACTCACTTAAAATTATTAAGTTTGTTGTAACTGACGGTCTTCTGATCCAATATTAATTTTTAAATTAGCGATAACTGGATAACAGACAAATGAGCATCAGACGTAATGTCGGACAATTGTCATGGGCAAATTACGCCTCGCCAAAGGATTGTTCCAGCGATCCATGGATAACTTAATATCCTGTTGATTAAAGCAGTTTATTTTTAGATGTGAAATAAGAAGCATTTGGAAACATTTGTTTGTATATGTGGATATATGATGTCAATAATGTCTACGTAGAATAGTATGTTATATTAAGTGGTCGTTAAACAACGAAATTATATTTGTTCATAATAATTTCTGTGTTGCGAAGTTTTCCATTTAAACGCCTGTATTAGCTTTGAATTAATCAAATATTAAAAATTTCAATCAATTCATACTTAACAACGGAACGCACTGCTTACAGCATCCACAAAATCCTCCACCTGACATCAACACTCCTTCGCAAGTCGTGGCGTCAATGTCTGCGCATTTCACCTTCAACTTTCTACAAGTATCCGGTGAACAAGCAATATCTATAGTATTTGTACAAGTAACAAACATTAAAAAGCACAATATTATCAGCATATTTGAAATTTTTATAGCGATTAAACTAGATCTTATTTGGTTAACTCTTTGTAAGAATGACCTGTGTTCAAATGTTGACGAATTTAGTGTACCATATATAGATAATATTGGGATCTGTAGATTTCAAATACTTTGGCCTTTAAGAAAAGATAAGAAATTTTAATTCCATCAAAGACGTGACAGTACTTTAAGGGAGACACGGGCAAAATTTTCGTATCTTCGATTTGAATTTTTCATCCAATATTCTATACATGTCGTAGAAATGAATACACTATCTACATAAAGAAAAAAATGTTGGTTTCCTGACCAACGTGGGTAAGGTTTTCACGAAAGATATCACAGTTATCTATGGAAACGTTAAAGAACCTGTCAAATTAGAGACTAAGACTTGATTCAATTTTACAATATCCACAATATATGTTGTTTTGTTTTTCTTAACTTCCAGGATTTGTTATTGTCAAGTAACTTGTTTTAAAATGTCTGCGTCTTCATTTCGTTCAACATATGTAGATTTATTTATGTTTCACACTCACACTATATAGTATTTAAACAGAATAAAAAGACATGCTATGGCTTTTAAAAACTTCATTTTAGCGTGACTTGAGTAAATATAATAAATTTGATATTTTGTCATTTATTTGCCTGATTATCCCTTTAAATATTGAAAGAAATTCAGTCGCTTATGTAATAAGAACAATAAAAATACTAAATTGATTTATCAACATGATAGTTGGCAGAAATCCATGAAAATTCAAAATAGATTACTCTACTTTTCTAGTTACAAAATGTATAGCCAAATTTACACAGAATAAAATATAAATATAACATAGGCCGAAAAATTTGTTTAAAAAATAAACTTTATACTTAATTTCAGTGTTGTTATATTGTTCTGGTCAGTCATGATCATTGATGCCAGCACTATTAACTGTTGAGAATTGAGTACCGCTCAAGCCGGTGTTATGGGGGCGTGAGGAATGTTGCACTTCTTTATTATCACTCATGAACAGACCAAATCAAACCGAGTCTGCAATTTTCATGTTATTTTGTTGTGATGTTTTCAGAATTTAATATGTCTTCCTGATAGAAACTACAAATGAGTTGAATGAAATACAAATAAAATATAGATGTGCTGCAGTGGAATTCAGGATGTGTCTCTGTGTATATTACTTCAGATAGCGAAGTTTTTATAGAATCACTGACATAAAACCGCTAAATGTGCTACATGTGGTTCGAAATTTTAGTAAAGAAATCCCTCACGGAGAAATGAACGCAGTGTAAGCTATTTTTTGTGTCTTTTCAGGCAAAATACGAAGACTGTGCCAACAAAGTTATGGAAAATCACTGTGTAACAAAAAATCCAAAGGTCCAAGCTTAAAATGACGTTGCACAACTTTATTTTCATCAATTTTTTAAAGTAAAAAACTTTATTTTAAGAAAATATACTTCCCTAATGTTGCTTGTGGCCACGAAGTAGTATCTCGTGTGCATGACTTAAATATCTCGTGGCTACGACAAAGTATCAGTTGGGACGAGATATTAAAAGTGCACAAAAGTTCCTTTTTTGCCCCCCGTAGAAAGGGTGTTTTTGTGTAAAAAAATTTTTTATGTAAACAAAAATTTTTTTAATTTTACAACCTAACACCCCTGAAGCGTTTGTTAATGGGGTACTTATTACAATTTTTTCATTTAAAAAAAGTAAATTTTAATTTTTGTAATTAATAGTAAGGTTTTTGAGTAATAAAAAGCCCCCGAAAACTTCCTACCGATATTAACAAAAAAATTTAAAATTTTTCTTTTTAAAAAAGAAAATTTCTGACGTTAAATGCAAAAAATAAGAATACAAAAAAAATTTTACATGGTAGTTGTGTTTTGTTTTTCATGCAAAAATTGAAATCTATACTCGACAAAACGGGGAAAACTTATCAAACTAAGAAAACGTAACTATTTTTCAATATAAAATTTTCTCCTTTTGGGGTTTTCTTATTTACTGATATAATGCGCTGCTTTAAAAATTGTTAAGAGTATAATTATGCAAATGTGCAGAACAACTTTTTTAAATTAATACTTTATTAATGTCGGTCGTTGAGAAAACAGTTATACTAAGTCAAAAATCAAAAAACAACTTATCAAGCAAATACACTTTAAGGACTCAACTGAGGATTTTTGACATGATGGGACTGAAAATTTTTTTTCCAGATAAATGTACCATTTGATGTAGCACCTAAAAACTCACTATTTAGAGATGAAAATTACGATTTTTACGAGTTTTAGCAGTATATTCAATAGTTTTCATACGAACTCCGTGACAGTTCTCACAAGAACTCCTTGACAAGTTATCATAATAACTCCATCTCTCGAATACTCCTCCCCGTGTACATGTACTGTACGTTTAGGAGAATTATTTAGTGACGCGGCGGCCAAGTCCCATTTTACGGTGTTAAATAGTTATCATAACTGTATATTATCTTCAGGCATGGGTACTTGAGATATAAATTAAAATATCGAAAAATTAACAATTGTCAGCGTAACGCAATTAAAGCTTGACACTAAGTATATGTGACATTCTCTCTGTCGCTATCGCCCCGTCGAAGTTTCTAATTTCTGCAGAACAGCTCGGATGAACACTAAACATATACATAGTATGGACTTTTGTTCTTCTATGAAAATTAACACTCATTATTTTGAAGAAATACAGCGTTTCCATTGGATGACAAATAAAAGTTGGACACTATACCGGTATATTTGATATTTGATATAACACTGAACAAAAGTTCTAAACCGATCACCCCTGAGTTTTCGCTTATATATGAAAAAGAATAATACCAAAAGATCGACTTTTTTTTTTATTTCGAAGAGAATGAACACATTGAGAATGATTTAAAATTATAACATTTTTCTATTTAAATAATACTTTATCGATATTTAAAAAAAAAAAAAAAAATACTTTTATGAACAGCACTCACGCTTCTGATAGAGGCTCAGCT